TTATGCAAGTATCTATCCTGTTTTGAGCGGGAGACAAACATGGAACAACCAAGCAATTGTTCGTTTTTCTCTTCCTCTGATAAGCAGACCGAATTGCAAGATGTGGCTGTTGTCATCCGTGATGCATCTTGCACATGGTCGTGCCATGACCAGAAGGAAATGGATTTGGTTTTGGATCCTGTTAATCTTCTTATTCCGAAAGGTTTAGTGGTTGCAGTAGTTGGAGAGGTAAAACTCTATTGCTGTTATAAATGATTTATTTTAAAGCTCTGAGCTTATCAATGTGAGAAAATTGTGACCAGCCTCATCTGACATGGAATTGGGAGTATCTTAAAGCTTTGTCCTTTTGACCGTTTACAAGCTTATGGGTTATGGGATGACATTTCATATGTTGTTGTAGAAAACACAGACTTGACTATTTAACATTTTGGATCAAGAGATATTTGATATATGTATACTTTGTCTTGGAAATGGACATATGTTTAGAATTGTCATTGCAAAGCCTCTGCTTCTTAATGGTGCAAAAGTTTGTGAAATCTGAGCTACTGAGGGTACTATATATGTATGACTCGTGCTATTTGGGTTTTTCCTTTTCACCATATCCTGTTAGATGGAGTTGGAGAAATGATTATAATCTCAGAAAAGAAAATTTGAATCAATATCTCTATGATCTTTTTATACTCTTACTACCTACAGTCTACCATTGGCACCTTCTTTAGTTTAATTCACCTTAGTAACCAGTTTGGTGGTTCTAACTATACGGAAAGAAACTACGACGGTGCAATGCTCTAGTATAATAAGAAGTTATACCTCCCTTTCCACCATAGTAATGGGTGTAGCAGAAGTGATACACTGATTTTCTTGGACATGTAGCTGTATCTAATGATTATATTGTGCAAGGTTCCTTTCCAGCAAAACTATTATTTCTCTTATAACAGATCTTTTACCTGCAGGTTGGGTCTGGTAAATCATCCTTGTTGAATTTGATTTTGGGGGAGACGAGGTTAATTAACGGATCTGTGTACCGGACTGGTTCAATTGCATATGTACCGCAGGTGAACAAACAGCTGGTAGTGTTGATGTGTATGTAGCACTCCTGATGTCATATTTTGCCTATCTTTTCAGGTTGCTTGGATTCTCTCAGGAACCATACGTGATAACATTTTGTTTGGGAGAGACTATGACCCAAGGAGGTCTATTTCATTTACCTTTTGACAAGGCAATAAGAATTTGTTTGGATAGTTTCAGTTGCATCAATTTTCAGTTCTCAGTTTTGCATTTCCAAAGACCCAATTCTGCTATTACCCTCATTGACCATTGAGATGATGTTTTGTATGCCTTGGACCCTTGAAAATTCACTGTCTGAAGGTTTATTGAGGAATCACTATCTAACAGAAGCTTATTGGATTTTGATGAGAGCAGATACTCGGAAGTATTACAAGCTTGTTCCTTGGACTTCGATATTTCCAGAATGATGGGAGGTGATATGGCCTCTGTTGGAGAAAAAGGATTTAACTTATCTGGCGGACAGAGAGCTCGTCTTGCTCTTGCCAGGTGATGCAATTCTCTGTCTTCAAATTGCAAGGTATTTGTCTAGTGACTGTGAGTAAGTGAATTGTCTCTTCTTCTGACAACTTTTCTGTATCTGACAGAGCCATCTATCATGATGCGGAAATTTACCTACTTGATGATATCCTCAGTGCAGTTGATGTACATGTTGGTTTTTCAATTTTACATAATGCAATTCTCGGCCCTCTAATGAGTCAGCATACGCGCATCCTTTGCACACATAACTTTCAGGTTTTCCATTCACAACTTCCTTTTAGTGCTGGATATAATAGAGTTTTTTCAGGTTTCTATACCTTTATTTTAAACTCAATTCATAGTTGTTTATTCTTATATAAGACTTGTAGAAATTTTAGTTTCGGTCAAAGATTATAAGGAAGAAAAAGGAGATACCATGAAAATATTGATAGAAACTTCTATTAAATAATGAGCAAGGGCAATTTTGATATAATCATTATGGAGATAATGTGATGCTATATTTTGTATATGGATATACAAGCCATTGATTTTCGCAGCTCATTGTATTTGCAAGTGGGAGCCACCTTGCTTTCAGAAAAGACTAGTAGACATTGCTAATTGAGCTAAATGATACACGAAAATTTCCTTTCATCATGCAATGGGTTCTGTGTAGTTTTATCTTCACTTTAATAGTTTTTCTTCCCTTCTATATTCAGCTGAAACTGATCGAATATAGAACAATTGTTTCTTAATTCCAGTTGTAGTAACAGTAATTGTTAGTTGCTGGGGTAAATTGAACTTGGCTCATTTAACAAGGATCTGTAGATTAAGTGTAATATATAGTTAAATTTTGCTTCAGTTGTTCCCAGTGCATTTCTGGAAAATCTACACATGCAACATTATTTATCTTTCTTTCTAATGACATGAAGTTCCACTATCCGTATGTGTGTCACAAGGTTAGTGATGTTGATTCATGCACCAAATTATGTTGTGAAGCAATTTACTACTGTATATTGGCCATTTTATCAGAAGACTAGGCAAAAGAATGGAAAGGCATAAAAAATTAGAAAAGGTGTATTTCTGTTTTGTAATCTCTTGTTCAAGAAAGAACTAAAAATGCATTTATAATCAGAAAAGATGCATTAATCTCAGGTTAGAAACAAATCGAGCACATCTAACATCTTTGTTAATAAGTTAACTAGTCGTTGGCAACCCAGAGGACCATTCATTTACGATATCTAAAGTAGTGCCTGTCTTCCATATAATAATCTATTCTTTTACTTTATAGGCAATATCTGCCGCAGACTTGGTAATTGTGATGGATAAAGGACGTGTGCAGTGGGTGGGGAATCCAACTGAGTTTTCTTGTTCTTCTGATGTAGCATTCTCAACAATCGATGAACTTAGCACTTGTTCTGAAGTTCAACGGCAGGATAAAAAATCAAATATTTCTAGTGAGATCCAGCAGAAAGTTTCAGAGGGCGATTTTATATGTACTCCTGGTGGAAATCAAGTGACTGATGAATCAGAGGCTCGGAAAGAAGGAAAAGTCGAACTCACTGTATACAAGTGAGTTGTTATTTTATTTTAGCATGAAAATAATTCTACAACAAAGATATCAACATTACACCTCAATCCCAAGCTAATCGTAGTTGGCATAAAGATCCTCACTATCCATGTAGCTCCATTTGACTGTTTAAGGAAAGATCCTGCCTGTGATAAATTTTTCAGTTTGATGATTTCATCATTATATGACTCGCAGGAGCTATGCTGCTTTTGTTGGTTGGTTCATCACAGCTTTAACATGTCTCTCTGCGGTTTTGATGCAAGCTTCTCGTAATGGAAATGATATGTGGCTCTCGTATTGGGTTGATGCAAGTGGAAGAAACCAGAAAGCATATTCAACAAACTTTTACCTGGTAACTAACCAACTACTTAAATTGTGTAGATTCTCTCACCAAGTTATTTTCTTTCCCCAGATTTATTATGGTTTATTTTGAGGAATGAAATAAATCATAATAAAGCTTTATTATGCTTTTTTTTGAAATTAAAAATTTCATTGTAAGACTCTCCTAAAATGGAAGAATATTGAAGAGCTATGTTGTTGCTCAATATATTGTTTTCTCCTATTCTTCTCCTATTATCAAGAGAAGATCTGGTTTCGAGGCATGAGGCTTTCTTAGAAAATTCCGTTGGTCCCCATCTCAAAAGTAGTAACTCGGTTTGTGAAGAAAGAATGTATTCTTTTTAGTATAATTTTCATCACCAAAGTTGGCACTAACCATATCTAGTCCCCCCCTCATTCGTTCATTCTCTCAAATGTAAAGGTGGAGTTGGAGAAGTCACCATGCCTTTCTTGGTGATATACAGCTCATGATTGACTAGTTATCAGTATGCTTGACTGTTTTATTGATGTTGCAGGCTACACTCTCTCTTTTCTGTCTGGCAAATTCCTTGCTAACTTTAGTGAGGGCATTTTCATTTGCATTTGGTGGGCTACGCGCCGCTGTTAAGGTGCATGATCGATTATTAGAGAAGCTTATAAGTGCACCTATTAGCTTCTTTGATCTGAACCCAACTGGGAGAATTATAAACAGGTATATCTGATTCACTAAGAAATTAAATGTTCTTTCTTTTGACATTACATAATATGTACTGACTGGACTATACAGATTGTCTTCAGATCTCTACACAATTGACGATTCTCTTCCCTTTATTCTCAATATTCTGCTAGCTAATTTTGTTGGCCTTTTGGGGATTGCTGTAGTTCTTTCATACGTGCAGGTATGGCTAGTTCCTTGTTTCAGAACTTTTCACGGTTTCTTTTTTGCAATTTTGTAAGTACTGCAGTCCATGTTTTGCTTGTTAGAACTTCTGATTCTAATAGGTTCTGCTTATATGCAGGTCATGTTTTTGTTTCTCTTAATGCCTTTCTGGTACATCTACAGAAAATTACAGGTGCGTTCCAAAATTTCTATATATCTCACTGATTGGTAAAGTGAAGTGGTGTTTTGATCAAAGCCAAGTAATATCAGGATGATAGTAAACAGTGTAATGAATGTAGATCTTTTTGTTCCTTTCGTGGTCTTCTTTTCGTGCTCATTCTATGTTTTAGCATTATTGTATTCTCTTTCGGATGTGTTACTTCCATTTCTATCTCATCAGCGCTTTTATGTTTTCATCATTTAGATAAGAGAAAGGATAGTAGTCACATCTCCTATCTGAACAACTTATGTTTTACTTGATATTTGAGTATCATTTATTGGAATAGACACATCATTATGTAGGCTATTTATTCGTTGTAGCTTAGTGAAACTTGGTGTATCATTTCCGAAGAAACTAGATTTTTCCTTTGTAAGATATAATGCTTGCCAAGTATGGGTATTCATAGAAAGAAATTTTGCAGTATAATGCATCTATTGATCTATTTGTGCTGCTTCAAATATGAACAAATAAAAAAAATCAAAGTTTCTCTTTGAATCTCTTTTTATTTCTCTTTTGATCTTAAGCACAATCTGAGAAGTCATGCTAGTGATCCACAATTGCTAGAATGTTATTAAAGGTTATTTTAATAACCTTTTTCTCAAAGTCCCATATGAAATATTTAGATGCGGAATAATATGGAGCCCTTAGCCACTGGAATAGGTAGTTTCACTTCCATAATATGATTTATTAGAGGCTGTAAGACAGAATAGCTGATGATAAGATCTTCAGCTGTACTATAGGTCAACATCACGTGAGTTGCGTAGACTTGACAGTGTATCTCGGTCACCTATATATGCATCTTTTACGGAGACTCTGGATGGATCATCAACAATAAGAGGCTTTAAATGTGAGGTAATTATATCCTGTTTTTCAATTAAATGAGATAACTCTCGCAGGAGCATCTTTGTCTTTTCTTTCAAGAGGATATAAATTTTCATTACTGCTAATCAGAGCTTGTGCTTTTCCATTTGTGCCCTCTTGAAAGAACTTTTGACTGCTTTACCTGTTGGGGTCAATCACATCTTTGATCGCAGGGAAGGAGTTACTTAAAGAAGTTCCTGTTGTCTAAAATTTCCCTACTAAATTCTAGTCCAGTTACTATGCTTTTCTTCTCTTACCTTGGATTTCTGACAGTTTTAGCATGATACTACAATATACATTTAGATAAAATCTAATTCTGATAGGAGAGTGAAACACTTGTGTTATCTTTCTTTTGAAAAAATGCATCTGTTTGACAGAACATGATCACAAGTAATTATTCTTCCTCATGTGAGTTTTTTCTTTTATCCTGTTCTTCCCTAGTTTCAGCATATACCTATATATATAATAGGTATCTAACACCCCTATTACATAGAGGAACAGTATGATTGCAGTGAATGTCACAGTACCTTAGTAATTTCCCTTGTACATCACACAATTAGGGAACATAGTTTATCCCACGCTTTATAAACCGCATCATTAAGTGCACCTTTTAGCCTCCTCTTGTTGCCAAACAGAAAGACCCATTGCTACCTTAGTGTGGAAAATATCATTTGAATGCTGTGTATTCCCGCATTTTTAAGAACTCATTAACCAACATTCGTGTTTTTCCATTTAGAAAATTCAAACAAACTATATTTTTTGGCAGTTTTTTTTTCTGCTCAAATTTAATCAGCATCTGATGACATATCAGAGGACTTCGTATTCAGAAGTAACAGCGAGTTTGTGGCTCTCCCTGCGCCTTCAGGTATGTCTTGCGCTGTCAGTACCACTTTAGTGGAACTACTTCTGATTTTTGTGTCACCATGTTCTTAAGTTTGACAATGTGAATTGTGAACTTTGGCATGCACACATTTTCTCATTTTTGTAAGTCATATCATAATACTCAAAAATTGATATTGTCATGATTACTAGATGCTATAGTTGCTACTGAAAGATTTAAATTTTCCAGTTGCTCGCAGCTTTTATCGTGTCATTCATCGCGGTGATGGCAGTTATTGGTTCTCATGGATACCTCCCCATCAGTTTAGGTACGCCAGGGTTGGTAAGTTTTAAGTGGTTCTTTTGCTCTTGACACTTTTCTGCAAAGCAATCATAATCTTCCTTGAATTTGATGTACTGATTCTATATGAACAGATTGGTTTGGCTCTCTCATATGCGGCTCCAATTGTATCTTTACTTGGAAGCTTCTTAACAAGTTTCACGGAAACAGAGAAAGAGATGGTTTCTATTGAGAGGATCCTACAGGTAACTAAATTAAGATACAATTCATAAAAAGCTTATCACACAAGTTGAGAACTCCTTTTTACTCCCCATTCTAGTATATGGATGTTCCTCAAGAAGAAGATGTTGGAGGACATCCCTTACATCCACAATGGCCACATCAAGGAGAGATCAATTTTGTCAATGTGACTCTTAAGTACAAGCCACAACTGCCTCCTGCTTTGTGTGGTGTTTCTTTCGACATTGCTGGGGGAACACAGGTCTGTTTGTCTACTTTGAATATCTACCATGTCCTTTAGTTGCAAATCTGACACTTGCAAAATCGCATATGTCAATAAGATGGCCTAAATCTATCTAAGAGAGAGATGACGGTTGAAAATTAAGTTATTGTAATGTCCTTATATTAAATTAAGACATTTGCTTCAGGAAATCTGTTGCTTGTTTACTTTTTATATCAAGTCATCAGGCCAATATAATCTTGTTTTCATTGCAATTATAGTGAAAGTGTTTCACTGGAACTTTAGACGATCATAGTGAATAGGACCGTTGTGTGAAGATGAAGCTAATTCACTAACACTATTTGGTGCTTCCACTATCCAGATTTTCAAGTCACTAAGAGTTAGTGATGCTAATGTTAGCTTTTGGAAGCGTAATAGTTAACCGCGGTGATGTTCTAATTTGCACCATTTGCCTAGTTTATCATCCAGATTCTCCTACCCTTAAGAATCTTTAAAAAATTTAACTTTCGCTATTGGAAAGTTTATTATACTTTTGTTGGGGTTTCTTGGAGAGAGTTTTCTAGCCACTAGATCCTGAGTCTTTTCCTTGAAGGATATCAAAATGATCAAAGGTGTCAAAGGCAAATTGTCAAGACACAGCTAGGAGGGATAATGTGATATTTTGTGTTTCTTTGGTGTTAGCTCCTCCAGACTCCAGTGATATTGAAGTTTAAGGTTGTCCTAGTATCTATCAGGTTGGTATAATTGGAAGAACAGGTGCAGGAAAATCAAGTATTTTGAACGCCCTATTTCGGCTCTACCCAACATGTGGAGGATCAATCATGGTTGATGGCGTAAACATTGCTGGTGTTTCTGTCAGATGTCTCCGTTCAAGCTTCGCTGTTGTTCCTCAGGCTCCATTCTTGTTTGAAGGATCGATAAGGTAATTGGCATAGACTGACATTACTTGTTACTTCTCTTGTGTCATATTTTCTTAGAACATTCCCTTCCTTTTTCCCTCTGTAACAGCATGTGTGTATATTAATGATGATTGGTTGGAAATATGCCTTCCTTTACATGTCTGCGTAATATAAACATCTCAGGAAAAATCTAGATCCATTGCAAGAGAACATGGATTTTGAGATCTGGAATGTCCTAGAAAAATGCCACATCAAGGAGGAGGTAGAAGCAGTAGGTGGACTGGATGTTCAACTGAAAGGGTCTGGAACAGCATTCTCTGTTGGTCAAAAGCAGCTAATCTGCCTTGCACGTGCTCTCCTCAAGTCTTGTAAGGTAGTATAATGTGTAAATGGAAATAGTGCGGAAGTGTGTACAAGAAATGGGAGAGAGTTTTTTTGATGAGGGAAGATTTTATAGTAATGGGAGAGAGTAATGACAGTTTACATTTTTCTGCAGGTACTTTGCTTGGATGAATGCACGGCAAATGTGGACACTGAAACAACTTCAAAACTACAGAAAACTCTAGCCACTGAATGCCAGGGAACAACGGTTATCACAATTGCCCATCGCATTTCCACAGTTTTGAACGTGGACAATATCCTGATTTTGGATAGAGGGTTTCTGGTAAACTTACTGTCTTGACAAGCTTACCTCCTTTAAACTATGTCTAGACATCGAATGAAATATAACACAACTAGCTGACTAGTAAGTTTTTTATTTTTTGAAAAGGTAAAATTTTATTAATATGCAGTATCAAGAGAATAATGCAGCAGAATAAAAAAAACACTACACTTGGTACATCAGATCTCTATAAAATCTAACAAGTCTAGCACATCCTGAAAATTATAAACACAGTTTCCACTCCTCCAATAGTACAAATTTTGAATGCATCTAAATTTCAGAACTTGAAGTTGCTCCTTTTTGCCATCAAAACATCTCCTATTTGTCTCCATCCAAATTGTCCATGCAATGCATAATGGGATGGCAATCCAGACCTTTTTCTTACACTTCCCAGCATAGATTGATCTCCAGCATCCTAAAAAATCTCTGAACTTCTAGGGCATCACACCTTGAACACGAAAAATAGCTATAAACATGGTCCAAATCTGCCAGGTATAATATTGACAATGCAGAAAAAGATGATCAACTGATTCACATGAGCTCTCACATAGATAGCATATGCTACAAATAATAAATCCTCTCCTCCTCAAATTGTCTTGACTCAGGCATGCTTCTTGTGCCACCATCCATCCAAAGCAGGCCACTTTAGTTGAGAAAACGTCTTCCAGATCAGCTTCCAAGGCCAATTAGTTCTCAGCTCTGAATCATATTTTATGAGTTCTCTGTAGTAAGATTTCACGGTGAACATTCCAACATATTGCATATTCCTTCCCCTGACGTATTTAAGTCTCCTCAGATTAATTATTTTGTATTATACTTATCTGGAAAGTAGGGCAACACAATGGTCAGAGACATTATCCTTAACTTAATTCTGCCTCATCATTTATTTTTGGTTTTGTTGCCATTCATTTATTATGTTTTACTTGCATTACCTACATCTTTAAGGCTGCTGATATGAACCACCAAACAAGTGTTGGCATTCAATTTAGTGCGCATACTGTATGTTGATCTGTCAACTGATGAACATTCTTCAATTGTTAAATTGCTTTCATGGTGTTAGGCTATATTAAAGATGGAAATGTCATCCAAAATGAGATTGATCCAGATTCTCATCTTTCCTTTTTTCGTTTCCAGGTTGAACAGGGTAACCCGCGGATTCTTCTAGAAGATCAGTCATCCATATTTTTCAGCTTCGCCAAAGCTTCAAATGTGTGATGCATCTCCGATGATGACTTAGGTTTTAGAAAACTAGTTCGGCGACTGGAAGATGTTGCATAGTAGAGCAACTATCCACCTTCAAACTTACTCTTGTTTTAGTTCTAATGGTTGCTAAAGTATTAATGTAGGCTGAACCAAATCTTCAAGCGTGAAGTTGTTGTACAATAAAACCATTATCTTAGCTCAAAAAGCTGCTGGAAAAAAGAATGGTAGATGTGCAAGGGTTTAACTTCTATGGACTTGTGGGAATATTTATGCATGATAAGTGCCATTAAGATGTTATTGTTCACATTTTGGTAAAACTACCTTTGAGTAAAAATGAAATGATACCAAACTCCAAACTTTAAGATCGTCGAATAAGCATATGCTTTGCACAATTCTCATACAAACCTTTTAGAGTAATTGGAAGGAATTATGCTACTACAGTTGTGGTTAAGCAATATATAATGCACAGACCAAACCAAAGAATATGGATATCCTGATCTTTTAATTACCATAAATGATAAAGGTTGCCCAACTTGAACAACATGGAATGGTATAGCATATAGTCTCTATTAAAATTTTCCTTTTGAAGGAAAAAAGATATATGGTTTTTTTCCCTACATGCTTTTTGTTGGTGACTGACCAACAAATGGAGATATAAAGTTGGACTAATCTCCAATCTTAGTCATGACCATCCTCATCTTATAGCGGACTTACACGCAAAGTTAAATAGAAAAGAAAGTCCAAACTTTGAGCTTTTTTTATGTGCCTGGAGCTGAGGGAAATAGAAATTCAAGATTAGCGTGCCTTAGCTATTCTTAGTGGCAGAAGAATACAGTCAGATCTTTCTATAATTTTATATTATAATATATATTTTCTACAACAGTGCTCACTATAACATCAAAAAATATTCGGAACAAACAAGACTGTTATAGAGAGGTTTGACTGTAGTACAGAAAATTTATAGTACTATTATATAGTTTGTTAACATGTAAATTTTATTTTTAAAGTTATGAAAATTTGGTTCCCGGATTGATATTAAATACTTTTTACACTTACACTTGAAAATGTAGATGGAGGAAAATTATTCAACTATTGTGTTGTTCTTCCATCATTAGAAGCCTTTGTTGTCACTGTTCCCTAAAGGGTAAAGCATAAAGCTAAAGGCAAATGCTTACTCGTGCATTTTTCGGTGAATACGACTAGACAATGATTTTACACCGGCCCAAAAAGTTAGTTAACATTAAACGAAAAAGAGAATTTTGAAGACAAACAATGAAAGCATTACTATGAATAGTAGCTAGCAAGAAAATAAAGCAGTATTCTCTTTGCTCTTTAGACTGTTTACCTTATTGTTGTTGAAAATTGTCCCATCAATCCTCCACCAGGCACAGGCATGCCATGTTCTTTTGCTTGCTCCCTGATAAGTGCTATGCACAAGAAAGCAATTGTGAGTTTACAACCATTATCATATGAAATGAACGGCGGCCCGGTGCATTAAACTCCCGTTATGCGCAGTGTCTGGGAAAGGGTCCGACCATAGGATTCTATTGTATGCAGTCTTACCCTGCATTTTTACAAGAGGCTATTTCCACGGCTTGAACCCGAGCGGATTTAGGGGGGCGGAAGGGGTTCACCCGAACTCACCCCCTTCGCCGAAAAATTACACTGTATATATAAAGCAAAATTTATTTTTTACCTCTAGATATTATATTTTGAATCCCCTTGAACTTAGTGGTCGAGGGGCCGGATTCAAAACCTTTGTGAGGTCATTGGTTCAAAACCATTCGCTATAATATTTTTTCCATTTTTTTTTTAACCCCTTAAACGAAAATTCTGCCTCCGCCACTGTTGGTCACATGCTTGTTTCCACGGCATGAAATGANTTTTTTTTTTTTTTTTTTTTTTGTTTCTTTTCCCTCTCAAAAGCCATTAGTTTTGTTTCTTTTACTTTTATTACTCCCTATTACTTTCTTCCTTGCTTTCCTTTTTCTTTTTCAGTTTTCCCATTCTTTAATTATATCACTACAACTTTCATGGATCCAATGCTCATTTTAGGGTAATTCTGACATTCTTTTTCCCACATCTCAAATAACTACTATCTCCAGATATTTGCTAGTTGCTACTCCATTAGTTTAACAATGGAAGAAATAAAATAGTTGGAGGAGATACATAGCAGACTTTGACACATTTACAAAATTTTAGGTGAAAATACAAAAATTGTTACTTGTAAGACTACAATGAAACAGTTAGAAATAACAATAAGGGTTCGTTTGGTTAATGGGATACGGTGGATATCCTGGTATAGAAATTAGGACTAAATTTATTTCATGTTTTCTTATAGGAATTAACTAATCGTGAGATAAATTTTGTACTAAAATAGTGGGATTACTTAATCTCATATAGAAGGTGGGATAACTAATTCTATTGGGATATTCCACCATTGTACCAAACGGACCCTTAATGGTTATTATGAGTTATGAAATAGTTTCATCTTTGTGGAAATGACACCATGTAGCCACTTCTAAACATGCTATTTAAAATATATCCATAGTTTACAATATATTTAAAAAATTAGTCAATTTCGCTCACACTTTAGGACACGATGTCCTAGAGTTTAAACCTCAAAGTTCAAATTTCAGGACATCGTATCCTAAAGTTCAAAAATTGTGTCTGGAAGTTCGAATCTTCTGTATATGGTTAAAATCGAGCATATCCGATTTTATGGGCTCGATGGTCTGCCTCTTGGTTTAAGTTCATATTGAAGCGAACTCGAGCTCGAAGACACGAAGACCGAAGGATCGAGATCGGGCAAGACCAACATCGAGCAACAGAATAGCGAGATATCAGTGATCGACCACAAATCTCGGCGGGAATCTCGGAACCGACAGAACCGCTATCGGTTATTGATACCAATCATGGATTTTACTTCCGAAATTAGAGTTATACTTTATTTGGGATTCCTCTACTATATAAAGACAAACCCTGTTCATTTGTAAGGCAACACTGACTGAGAAATAACAATATGCTGCTCTCTTACTTGCTTATAACTTACTATTATTCTTATTGTTCTTAACGATTGATCTTGATCCTGTTCCAATCGATGACGATACTGCTTGCAATGACACTTGTTTGATTTATCTAAATCATTTAAATCATTTATTTGTCTAGTCATCTATCAATTGGCGTTGAATTAGATTATGTATCCTTATAACCATATTACAAGTTTAATTGTTATTCGTATTTCGAGGTAAACAGTTTGGTGCCCACCGTGGGGCTTAGGATAATAGTGATTGTTCAATGCTAATTCTAGTATAACACACTATTTTACACTTGTTTCTTCTCAAGAATTTTGTTTTCAGGTTAAATCATGTCAAACTCACAAAACGCATCTACACATAGCGATAACGGCTTCGGACTCCATGGAGAAAATGAGAATGTTATCGCCCCAGGAATCAAGGTGCCACAGGCTGACCTCAGAGGTGCACCGCCCGTTAACCCGGTTGATGTCAGTTCTCATGTTGCTTTGAATATGGATTTAGGCGCAGACCCCAAAGGAAGCGTACGCAGAGAGGGTCAAACTAACGGTCAATGTACGCAGGGCAGAGGAGATGAAGGAGTCAGTCTCCAAGTAATATTTAAAATGCTGCAAGCCCAAAAAAACACCATTTCCCAGTTGTAAAATCAGCATGGGGCGCCAAATAGGGTCGAACAAGAGGTTACTCGTTGTACCGAGCCAGAGCCTGAAAGATCGGGTGATAATACTTCGACAAGTGATCCTGCTATAATGAGGATGCTCGAGGAGCTTACTAAGAGAATAGAATCGAGAGAAAAGAAAATCAAGGCCAACAACAAGAAGGTGGAAACTTACAACTCCAGAGTCGATCAAATACCGGGGGAACCACCAATCTTAAAAGGAATGGATTCCAAAAAGTTCATACATAACTGTTCCCTCCGAGTGCCGGCTCCGAAGCCCATCCTAAAGAAGTTCCGTATGTCCGATATACCTAAATACAACAGGACCTCTGACCCAAATGAGCATGTTACTTCTTACACGTGCGCCATAAAGGGAAACGACTTGGAAGATGACGAAATCGAGTTTGTATAGCTAAAGAAGTTCGGGGAGACCCTGTCGAAGGGAATTATGGTTTGGTATCACAACTTGCCATCGAATTCTATCGATTTGTTTGCCATGTTAGCGGATTCATTCGTAAAAGCACACGCTGGGGCCACAACGAGAAAATCAGACCTCTTCAAAGTGAAGTAGAGGGATAACAAAATGCTAAGTGAGCTCGTATCTCGGTTCCAAATGGAATGCATGGAATTACCATCAGTCATTCATGATTGGGCTGTTCAAGCTTTCACTCAAGGATTAAATAAGTGGAGTTCGATCGCATCACGTCAGATGAAACAGAATTTAATCAAGTACCCAGCTGTGACTGGGGCAAATGTCCACAATCGATATTGTGAGCACGTGATTTTTGTTTCACGAAAATTACTCCAAAAGAAATTGATAAATAAAATAAATTGCCTCTGGGTACGATTTTGAGAATTTCGCGTGACATTTTGGTTAATTATTCTTGTCTGTGAGTGTTTGTTTTATTTTAGTTAATTGAAAAATACAAAAATACATGTTGCATGCCTATTTAGGATTTAATTGTGCATTTTGGAATTAATTAAACCATAGTTTGGTTTTAAAAGAAAGAAAATCACAAAAAATATGCATTTATCCTATTTTTGTCATTTAAATGTGCCATTGTGTGATTTTATTTTTTAAAAATGTTTTGTCTTGTGTGTTAATTGTTGTTAAAGGATAATTAATATTTTGTAAGGTTAATTTTGATTTTTACAATTCAAATTAGGAATTAAAAGAAAATGAAAGAAAAAGAAGAAGGAAGTGAAAATAAGGAGAAAACCGGACTGGGCCATTTCAATTTGGGCCAAAATCAGGCCCAAGTCTCACCTTCACCCGATCCAGACCAGTCAGCCTTGAAGACGGGCGAAACGACGTAGTGTGATGTCGAAACTGCGTCGTTTCGTCGTCAAAAATCACAGCCGTCCACCCAAATCAATCCAACGGTCCCTAATGACCAACCCTAACCCGTAAGCAGCCCCGACCTATTTTGACCACACCGGTCCAACCCACCCTGAAGCCAAACGACCCCGTTTTAATTAAATGAATTAATCAAGGTCGTTGGATCCCACCATCCAACGGCCCAGATTAGTTCACTTGATTTCAATATATCAAAATCCCTACCCCCTTACCCCCCAAACCTAATCAGACCCCTTACCTCCCTTTCGTCTCTA